GGTAGTCCTACCCCTACCACACCTCAATCCGGCGCAGCTTCTCGAATTCCCATCTCGGCTTCTCAGAGACGCATCTCGCTGCCTAGAGAATACCTCGGTGCGCACAATGTGGTGGAGGAGCAGGTATTCAGGTTGGGCCCAAAGGCGCACGGATTGCAAGATGCAGTGTTCGATACGGCTACGAGGGCCAATGATTATTTCATCAGCGCTAGAAAGGAGATCGAAGGCTTGCAGGGAGGTAGGATACCGGACGAAGTTGTCGGCGTGCTTCTGAGCTCGGTGAGTGGCCCTCTGATCGCTCGCCAAATCACAACCACAATCTCCTCTCCAAAGAGTCGCGCGCATCGATTGATGCTGAAGGCTCATGATCTCCCCTGCTCTTGCTCTTGCCCTCAACCGCACACCTCTCTGCACACGTGCCACAGGTCAACCCCCTGCTCTTTCTGAGACAACTCGAAAAGGTAGACTTTGACGTGTTTGACCCCTCTTTGCAACAAGTCGCAACCGGCAGAGGCTGGAAATTGCCCTGGGAAATGTGGAAGGTTCGAAGGAGGGGAAACATCTGAGCCGGCTTGCTCTCCCTCTGCGTCTCTTTGCTTGAAAAGTATTCATCCTTCAGGCGCTTCTGCACGCAATGCGAGCCTAGGCGAAAGCATCGCAAGTGGTGAGCATGGTGAGTCTCAGTGATTCGAAAGTCTGCGAGTATGATCTTCCTTTCTGCGTTATTGTGACATTGAAGTTGGGAAAGGAGAATGGGTGACTCTAGGTATGCTTGGATGGCTTGATTCGTGTGGATTCAAAGGGAGGTGAGGAAAGGACTAAAGGAACTTTTGGAATGTCCATAGGACCTCGTGTGGGGCATCAAGCGCGTGTCTTGACGTGTCTCCGAGAATACCTGCCGATGTGTATGGCGCTTGGCATAGTGCCCCAAATGCCGTCTTTCGCCCAGCTCGCTTGTGTTCAGCGTGCGAGAGAACGCTTTCAACATTCACGTGCTTGAAGAGTCGGCGCGTCTTTCGATTCATTGCGCTCTCTGTTTGCCCTTCGCTTTCGCACTCAGTCGCTGCTGCTGCTGCCCTTCCTCCTCCTCCTCCTCTTCTTCTGGCTTTGTCGTGTTGGGATCAATAGCAACTGCGGGGCCATTTCCCAATCCAGCGCCCAAAAATCCCTTGAGTCCCTTTCTCTCCTTTTCCAGCTTTGCCTTGAGGAACTTTTCCAAATCACTGAGCTCCCTTTCGATCAGCGGCTTTTCGCTTGCGGAGATGTTGCTCTTCTTCAGCAACACTTGTAGCTCAGCCTGAGCCTTGTAATGCTCCTTCAAGGTTATCTGAGCTAGCGCGTGTCGGTAGGATGCTTTGGTGTTGTTTGCATTGTGCGTGAGCGCTTTGGAAGAGGCTTCGAGGGCTCGCTTGCCATTCTCGAGCTTGGAAGGCAGGCATGCGTCAGTCAGCTTGAGTGATGCTTGTTCAAGCAGCGGATCCTCACCCTCAAGTAACAGGCAGCCATCTATTGTGGGCGCATACAAGCGTGTAAGTCCATGATACGAAGCGCTTGTCTAACCGAAAGCTGTACCAAGAGACGCGATTCGGGTACGCACGTTGCTATGGATCATACTGAGCTGCAGCTTCTTCTCTGATGCGTTAAAGAGAGGAGCGTGCAAGAGGGCGTCAGCGTGTAGGCGGAATCACGATGGCAATTGGACATCCACGACGTTGAAGGACTCGCCGTCTTTTTCCTCGTCAGGCTCATCAGCTCCTTCGTTGCCTCCCATAGCAGTCTGCATCGGATTGACAGCCAGTCCTTCCAGATTCTGGCAATGGGCAAGATCACGTTAGACGGGTCAACTCATGATCATAGCACCATTTCGCAAACTTTGCAAGTGACTCTTGCCCGCGCGCAGCATACAGCACGCACCAGCACAGCTTCCCAATACTTTCTCAGTGCAGACCTGGGATCTCCCTTGGCAAAGATGCCATTGCCTTCATCTTTCAGTTTCTTGGCTTGCGCCAACTTGGCCTTGATTGA